TGGGGGGCATTGGAGGGGGGCGTAGGTTCGTTTTGGGCCGAGAAAAATGGTGGGGTGGGGGGTCCAAGAACAGAGACTACTAGGGAAGGGGGTTGTCGGGGCGAAGGTGGGGGGCATGGAGGGGGGCGTATGTTGCTTTTGGGCGGAAATGGGGGGATGGGGGGCTCCAAGAACAGAGACTCCTAGGAAAGGGGGTGTCGGGGCGAGGTGGGGGGCATGGGGGGGGGCGTAGGTCGTTTTTGGGCGAGAAATGGTGGGGTGGGGGGTCCCAAGAACAGAGACTCCTAGGGATGGGGGTGTCGTGGCGAGGTGGGGGGGCATGGAGGGGGACGTAGGTCGTTTTTGGGCGAGAAATGGTGGGGCGGGGGGTCCCAAGAACAGAGACTCCTAGGGATGGGGGCGTCGGGACGAGGTGGGGGGCAGGTGGGGGGTATCGGTAGGTTCCAGGCCAAAAATTATCGAGTGCGGTGTCCAAAGAACAGAGTTCCAGAGGCCTGGGGATGCCAGGGCGCGGTGGTGGGCCAGGTGGGGGGTATCGGTCGGTTCGAGGCGAGAAACAGCGCGGGGTGGAGGTGTCGGGGCGCGGTGGGGGCGGGGGGGGGGCGTTTGAATCGGCGAGGGAGGTGCATTGCATTATGGTCTGCATTTTTGTAGGCTATGTAGAAAGGATATCGCACACGCCTCTGGGGTCGGCGGATGTCGAAGTGGATCCAGCCGTGGCCACGAGACGCCTATTGGAGACTTACAAACGGAGCATAGGCTAGCCTCTCGAATTTCGATCCTTGAACCTCGAACCTCCAATGTCGGCGGCGATCTCGGCTGCGCGCGGCGTTCCGGTCATAACTCGGGCCTCTGGCGGCTGTTCTGGACGATTCGGGCACCCCTGAAACGCTTTCGACCAGTCGCAGACGCTGAAAACCGTCCCGAGGCTGCAACGCCTCCGGGAACTTGCGAAATCGGCCGAAGTCCAGAGCAGCCAGCCAGCGCCGCCAGCCAACGCCCCCCCCTTTGATGCGCGCCGCCGGCCCGCGCCACTGCGCCCATAGTTGCGCCTCTCTTCAAGGTGATGGCGCCCCGAGGCTGGAAAGCCTTTTGGGCAGTTGCGAAAGCGTCCGGAAACCAGCGCCTGAGTCGGAGGGCGCTGGTTTTCGGACGCTTTCGGAGGAGGAGGAGGAGGAGGAGGTGGAGGAGGAGGAGGGGGAGGAGGAGGAGGAGGTGGAGGAGGAGGAGGGGGAGGATGAGGAGGACGAGGAGCCCCCCCCACCCACCCACCGCAGGCCGGCAGCGGAATCTTCCTGCGCTCGGATCGGAGGTTGGTTGGGCCCCGCCCCGCCCCAGTCTTCCGAGTGGTGCACGAAGGCGGCCTCGCCGCCCAGGGGGGCCCGCTCGAGGTCAGCGTGGCGCAGCGGCATGTGCCCGCCGCGTCGCCCCGTCGAATGTGGAGACGAGCGGCGCGGCCCTGGCGGAGCGTGCCACCACCTTGGGGGAACAGGACGAGGAGGGGGAGGAGGAGGAGGAGGAGGAGGAGGAGGAGGAGGAGGAGGAGGAGAGGAGGAGGAAGAGGAGGAGGAGGAGGAGGAGGAGGAGGAGGAGGAGGAGGGCGGAGGAGGAGGAGGAGGAGGAGGAGGAGGAGGAGGAGGAGGAGGAGGAGGAGGAGGAGGAGGAGGAGGAGGAGGAGGAGGAGGAGGAGGGGAGGAGGAGGAGGAGGAGGAGGAGGCGGAGGAGGAGGGGGAGGAGGAGAGGAGGAGGAGGAGGAGGAGGAGGAGGAGGAGGAGGAGGAGGAGGAGGAGGAGGAGGAGGAGGAGGAGGAGGAGGAGGAGGAGGAGGAGGAGGAGGAGGAGGAGGGAGGGGGAGGGAGCAGGAGCAGGAGCAGGAGAGGGCAGGGCAGGAGCAGGAGCAGGAGCAGGAGCCAGGGAGGAGCAGGAGCAGGAGGAGGAGGAGGAGGAGGAGGAGGAGGAGGAGGAGGAGGAGAGGAAGGAGGAGGAGGAGGAGAAGAGGAGGAGGAGGAGGAGGAGGAGGAGGAGGATGAGGAGGCGGTTGACGACGACAACGACGACGACGACGACGACGACGACGAGGACAAGGACGAGGACGAGGACGAGGACGGGGACGTGGACGAGGATGACGACGACGACTCAGGGTGTGTGGGAGCATGTATATGGGGGAGCAAACGATGACAGAGACACGACAAGTCGGAGGTCCGCGCGGTTTTTTTGGATCGGCGCTGGAGCCCCCTGGCTCCCCCTCCTCCTCGAGCCCCGGGGCGTCCGAGATGGCGGCCGCCGCGCCCCCGGCCGCCGCCGCCGACGCCGGGGCGGCCGACGAGGCCGCCTGTATCGGCGACCTGCTGCGGTCCCTGGAGGAGGGCTTGCGCTGCCGCGTCTGCCGCCGGCAGCGGGCGCTGAGCCGCCTCCGCATGGAGGCCAGCGTGGAGCTCGGGGACGACGACGACGACGACGACGACGACGACGACGACGACGACGACGACGACGACGACGACGACGACGACGACGACGACGGCGGCGGCGGCGGCGGCGGCGGCGGCGGCGGCGGCGGCGGCATCGGCGACGGGGGAGAACGAGGCCCAGTCCCTTTTCGCGTGGTGACAAATCGCGAAGGGGGGGCTCCTTTGATGTTCGGCCTCTCGGGCCCCTCGCTGGGCCCTGGGACTGGTAAAGCTGGGACTCGAAGAGTTTAAGCTTTAAGCAAGCCCTGCGCTCCTCTGGTTGGTCTCATCATTTCCTCTCGACACCTCCTGGTGGTATCATCATTTCCCCGTTAACGTTCCCTTATCCACAAGCCCTTTGGGTCTCAATGAGATAGGGACAGAGTGGTATGATCCAAAATGGTATGCGGATTTCCGTATCGCGTTGGAGATGTCGTCTGCCCTCATCTTTCTCTCTTGTCCTCGATACCCCTCCCCCCACGCCACTGCCTTTTCGTCCCTCCCCTCCCCTTGCCCTCCTCGTCCTGTCGTCGTGTCGTCGTCTGTCCTACGGCGCAACTGGTCGTTTATTGGTAATCGTGAGCATGCGCGAAACGTGGCCCCAAGCAGAAGTATTTAGCATCTTCCAGCTGCCAGAGTCCTCACCTGATGTATCATGCTGAGTATACGCGATCTTCAAAGCAGCGTAAGCCAGGCCAGGGCATGCTATGATGAGCATGCGTATGCACGCGAGCATCGGTGAAGGAACACAACCAGCCATGAGACCACGGATAACCAGATGAGACCACCAAAAACACGATGAGACCACGATGAGACCACGCCACGACACGAGCATCTATGATGGATGATCGAGCGAGGTTGTGAGCATGTGCGCGTAGTGCACGACGCGCGGATGGCACCCGACGCCAGGACGTCGAGCCATAGCACTGCAAATATCATGGTGTGGGTGCACTAGTGCTTTTGGGAAATCTTCAGGTTTTACACTGCGTGACGTAGAAAACAGCTACAGAGTAGAACAGACAACACACCAGCGCATGCCTCATTGCACCCGACGGGCCAATCGTAAACGAAGGAGGAATGCGGGGAAATGGAGAAGGAAACAGAGGAAGGACGAGAAGGAGTAGGAGCGCGAGGAAGACACATACACTGTTCAGGATCACCCCAAACGGGCTGACACATGTTCATCATCACCACGCCTGTCGACACCCGTTGCGTTGTTTGAGAACGCGCGAAACTGGTTACACCACTCCCCCGCCGACGGGGGCCGGATGAGGCCACCTCGGCCGAGGGGAAACCACGTCAACACCGTTGATGGCCTGGAGGGTGCTGCTTGGAAGGGAACGGCTGCATGTGCCTGCCTCACCACCTGGGACCGTCAGAAGACCACTCGGGATGAAGAGCTGGTCCTGGCGAATGGGTCGATACGCCCGCGTGGTTCTCGGAAGGGGCAGACCTCGAAGAAGATTCTCGGGCCGGGGCCTTCTTCGGCCGGGGCCTTCTTGGGCCGGGACTGGGCCCACTCGGCGCGCACCGCGCACCAGGGACGGAGGCCCAGCTCAGATCCACGGAATCCCCGCGACGGCGACGGCGACGGTGACGGCGACGGCGACGGCGACGGCGACGGCGACGGCGACGACGACGACGACGACTGCTTATAAACAAGGCACGCACGTGCAGCCACCGCCGTACGCAGCTCACCAGGCTTATAAACAAGACACGCATGTGCAGCCACCGCCGTATGCAGTCGACTGCGAGCGCGCGGCTAAATGCCGCGCGACGCCGAGAGCAAAGCTGTGCCAAACATCTGGCATCGCAGCAACTCGTCGGATGTGAGGTCGTAGAAACCAGAAGCAGCGTGCATGTCAATGAAGGCGGAATGATCTGCACCCGCCGCAATCTGCCCCAGGAGCGCCACGAGAACGGGCCTCAAGCTGCCTCCACCAGCCCGCGCCTGGTGGCTTCCTGGAGGAAGCTGATCGCGACGTTGTACACCGCCTTCTCGGAGCCCTCGACGAGAGGGTCGAACTTCCTCTTCACCCTCATGCATCCGTCAAGCTTGATGCCAGGCGGTAGCTGTGCCGTCCACTTTGACTCAGACCTGCATTGCAACAGCCAGCAGCCCTTGGGCTTCGTGATGGAACCCAGCTCGACGGCGCTGCTGCTGCTGCTGCTGCTGCCGGGCACCCAACGTGATGTCTTCGCCCCAGCGCGCCGCGCGCACGCGTGCCTCGCCTTGGGCCGAATATCTGGCTTCAACTCCAACGCGAGGCACGCGGGGCAGGGCGGGGCTGGCCGCGCCGCCCCCTGAGCTGCCGCCGCTGCCGCCTGAGCTGGCAGCGCCGCCTCCTGCGCCGCCGCCTCGTCCGCCGCTAACTCGGCAGCGATGGTCTGGAAGATGCCCTTCATGAGCGAGCAGCCCCGAGTCCACCGCTCCTGCTCCGCTGCCCTCATCCACCGCGCCGAATCCCACGGCGCACCGTCGCACTGCTCAAGCTGCTCGTGCTCGAGCTCGAGCTCGACGGGCGGGAGCGGCTCCCCGAGCTCGAGCGCGCCATGGCGGCCCGCGGGGCCGATGGTAATGTGGGCCGAGGGGCCCGAGGAACCCATGGCGGCCCAAGCGCTAACAATTTGGCAACATGTCACGGACGGATGGTCTGCCCCCCGCGGCGGTAGAGGAGGGCGCGCGCAATTGGAGGCGGCCAGCCCCTATGCACGACGCGGCACCACAATCCTATGCACTGCGCGGCGCGGCACGGCACCACACTCCTATGCATTGCACGCCACAATCCCATGCACTGCACGGATGATGTGCGAGAGCCCAACTTTGGAAAGGCACCGCCTTCCATCCGCGTAACGATTGCCAACTGTCAAGACAAATGTCCGCGGCGCCCAGGCGAGAGCCCCATTTTGAACAGGTACCGCACTGCGGAGGAGGAGGAGGAGGAGGAGGAGGAGGAGGGGGAGGAGAAGGAGGAGGAGGAGGAGGAGGGGGGGGAGGAGGGATGATTTCCCACATGTATCCACATCTACATTTACATATGTATTTCAGGGCTGGTCGCCGCGGCTCCACGTCTGGACGCGGCTCGAAACCAAACCAAACCACATCAAGCAAGATGCGCGTGCTCCGGGGAACTGCGAATACTGAATTCCTGCATGAAAACATGCGCGGAGAGGGCCAGCCTTGCCGTTTTGGGCTTATGCCGGTTATATTTGTACAGTTAGATAAATGCACACACACACATATATATATATAGTCACACATATAGTTGTCCCGATGGTTGCCCCGATGGTTATGTTGTCCCGAGGGTAGTCCCGATTGTACAGATTGTTAGATGCCCCCCGATCCTCCTCCTCCTCCTCCTCCTCCTCCTCCTCCTCCTCCTCCTCCTCCTCCTCCTCCTCCTCCTCCTCCTCCTCCTCTTGTATTCCCTCCAAGCCCTTCAGTATCAAGTCTCATCCGTCCACGTACCTACATTTCTGCACATATATATATATATATATATATATATATATATATACCAGGCTACAGGGCCGGGGGCTCCCTGGCCGGGGCTGCAACCCCCCATGGGAGGATCGGGCCTCCGGGAGCGCCCTTGTCCGGCCCAAGAGGCGCCGAAGACGGTCCAAGCGTGCTTCTTTTTTTTTTTTTTCTCTTTTTGTTTTTTTTTTTTTTTTTTTTTTTTTTTTTTATGTTTTTTTTTCTTTTTTTTTTCTTTTTTTTTTTTTCGAGACGCTTACGATCGATCCAAGACGCCCAAGATGGCTCCCAGACGGCCCAAGAGGGCGCCAAGAGGGCCCCAAGATAAGCCCAAGACGGCCAAAGAGGCTCCCAAGACGCTCCAAGAGGCCTCCAAGAGCCCCCCCCCAGAGAGCCCCAAGAGGCCAAAATCGTACATTTTACGAAGGTTTTGGATACATGTTGCCTTTCCCGCCTTTTCAGCTTTCCGACGCTCCACGACGGCTCACAGGCCTCCCGCAGACGCCCCAAGACAGCCCAAGAGGCCTCCAAGAGGGCCTCAAGACGGCTCTGGAGGGCCCCAAGACGGCCCAAGACGCGCCCAAGACCGGCGAAGAGAGGCCCAAGACGGCCCCAAGAGGGCTCCAAGAGGGGAACCGCGAACCGGAAATTCGAGCCTCCCGCCTCCACAGGGCCCCGGGAGGCCCCAAAGGGGCGCCAAGAGGCCCTAGGAGACCCCCAAGATAAACCCAAGACGGCCAAAGAGGCCCCCAAGACGCTTCAAGATGCCTCCAAGAGGCCCCCCCAGAGGGCCCCAAGAGGCCCAAATCGTTAATTTTACTAAGGTTTTGGGCACATTTTGCCTTTCCCGCTTTTTCAGCTCTCCGACGCTCCACGACGGCTCACAGGCCTCCCGCAGACGCCCCAAGACAGCCCAAGAGGCCTCCAAGAGGGCCTCAAGACGGCTCTGGAGGGCGCCAAGACGCGCCCAAGACGGGCGAAGAGAGGTCCAAGACGGCCCCAAGAGGGGAACCGCGAACCCGAAATTCGAGCCGGGCGCCAAGAGGCCCCAGGAGACCCCCAAGATAACCCCAAGACGGCCAAAGAGGCCCCGAAGACGCTCCAAGAGGCCTCCAAGAGGCCGCCCCCCCAGAGGGCCCCAAGAGGCCAACATCGCTAATTTTACAAAGGTTTTGGATACATTTTACCTTTCCCGTCTTTTCAGCTTTCCGACGCTCCACGACGGCTCACAGGCCCCCCGCGGACGCCCCAAGACAGCCCAAGAGGCCTCCAAGAGGCCCTCAAGACGGCTCTGGAGGGCCCCAAGACGGCCCAAGACGCGCCCAAGACGGGCGAAGAGAGGCCCAAGACGGCACCAAGAGGGCTCCAAGAGGGGAATCGCGAACCGGAAATTCGAGCCTCCCGCCTCCACAGGGTCCCGGGGGCCACAAGAGGCCCCAGGAGACCCCCCAGAGGCACCCAGGAGGCCCGAATGAGGCTTCACGAGGCTCCCAAACAGCCCCGAGGA